TACCTACACTTGTAGGTACATAACTGAGCTTAAGCAATTTTATGTAAGAAAAAACGCAAAATTTTGTATAAAGTGAGCTAAAATCAAATAAACTTACTCAAAAAAAAACCTATTTTGATTGCAATTAAAATTTTAAGGTAATCAATAATTAGCTTTATGAACAATTGCCCCTTAGCATATTTTTCAGGAGTACAGTAATTTTCACATATGAGCCCTAACCGTTCCTAGAGCAGCTAGATACATTTCTGCCTCCAAATTAAAAAGTAAAAAAAAAATCGCTTACATCTTTTTGGTGCCTCTAGGGTAGGGGGGACTTACCCCATTTTCAGTTTTTGTCATCAATGTTGAACGAAAAGTATAATTTTTTATTTGAAAATATTCATATACTTCGTATTCGTATGCTGCGGCGCTTTTTATTTTACTTCGTTAAGTAATGAAAATTTTTAATTAAAAATCACGCGATTTTTTATTAAAAATCTTCCCCTGCGGCGCTTTTTAATATAAAATCGCGCGATTTTTTATTAAAAATTTTCGGCTGCGGCGCGTTTTATTATAACATCGATACTTCGATAAATCGCGCTATAAATAATTACAATTTTTAATAAAATATCGCGCAACATTATGTGCATTTGTTCATTATTTCCGTTTTGTGTTTTTTTCAAGTTTTGTTCGATACTTCGATAAATAATGAGCAATTTTAACTAAAAACCTCCCGATTTTTTTATTAAATATTTTCGTCTGCGGCGCTTATTTATTTATTTATTTTTAATTCGATACTTCGATAAAAAATTTAAAGTTTTATTTAAAATTCGCGCAATTTTTTATAAAAAATTTTCTCCAACGGCGCTTTTTATTATAACAAGGATATTTCGATTAATCGCGCTATAAATAACTACAATTTTTAATAAAATATCGCGCAACATTATGTGCATTTTTTCATTGTTTCCGTTTTGTGTTTTTTTTTTGCACTTTTTGGTATGTATGGCAGCACCAACATTTCAGTTCAGTTGGTGTACAAGAGAAAAAGTGAGGTTGAATTCGGTATTTTTTGCAACTTTAAATGCGAATTACTTAAAAACTATAAGCCTCCGGAGGGTGGGGTCTTCAGATTTAGAATCTGAAAAAGCTCCTCTATACTCCCCAATATCTTTATTTCCAAAGCCTGGATTCACTATTCACTTCTGGAACACCCCGTATATTTCAAACTCTAATGCAACCCTGTTGATATCTCTTTATGCTTTTACTCATTTATTCGTAAACAATCAACTGAATGTCAGAATACAGCTGATCAAGGCGCATCAATTAAAAAAATTAACTCCTATTCCTTTCGATTTGGCATACTGATGTACCAATAAGCAATAACAAAATACACGGGACTTTTACTTATATGCAATTGCCACCGCCTTGTATGGATGCACCTTGCAGCTGATCTTAAAAAGGATTTTTCTTATTTAAAAACAAAACTGACAACTCTTGCAAAAATGGACCAATTTGATAGCGAAAGTTACTGGAATCGTTCGGCTAGCAGAGGATTCAGCTTTGATGACGATGAAAGTTCATTATGTACATCTGCTTCTGGCAGTAATATGAATGTAAGCAACATACTCAACGATTACGACACTATCTCCGAGGCAAGCTTTGATAACAGTGTCACGGGTAGTGCTCTCAACCTGTCCATAAAGTCTGTCATATCAGAGGATACACTAAAGAAATTGCTGCAGGAGCAAACCCTTGATGACCGCATTGTATCGAAAGGCGTTGCGCCAGAAGAGGAGTTACGTTTGCTACGTAGACAAATTCAAACTACGTTTTACAATCCGTCACCCGAAGCAACGGCACACAAACTATTGCTTGGCAAGAATGCACCGTTGGAAGTGTTCAAATCGCTGCACGAAAAAGAACAACTTCTCGACGCAGTGCTGAAGTGTGGAGGTGGCGATGCGGTCATTGGCGTGCTATTATTCCTCAAAAAAACGTTAAATCGTTTAAACTTTCTCAAAATTCTCGAGCAAAGACCGCAGGCTTTACAATACTATGTAAGCTACTTGCAGCAGCGTCAAAGTTCTGAAGCTGCAGAAGTTCTACAACACTTTGGCAAACACCAAGATGCAGCGCTCCTACAATTCAAAGCGGCAATGTCTTGCAAAGATCTGGTGCACCGAAAAAGGAAGTTGCAACAGCTACTCGACCAGTACAGTGGTGATAAGAATGTGGTCAGTGTATATTTACAACAATTTCAAGCATCATTGAAATTGTTGGAGTTTGTAGAGAAAGAACGCAATGTGCTTGATAATCTAGTAGATATGCACTCCACGCCTATTGA